TTCTCAATTCTGTGGCTATGTCTGGTAACGCACTAAGGTGACCGAGCATCGCTGGGAACACTGCATTGTGGAAATGAATTACTGTTATGTGCCATAGTCATGTCTTAGTTGATCGGTCAGATATATACTGGTTATTTAAAGAAAGTAACTTCTGATTAATACTATCAAAACCCTGATATCAATGTAATAATAATAATAATAATTGTATTAATTGTATAATGGACTCCGGTCCATTACAATCACACAAATTAATTATTGACAAGAAATACATTTATATTACAAAATATGTATGAAAATATAGATATAGAAAATATAGAGGGTGTCAATAGATAATATAACCACTATATAATAATGTGATGGGGATATTAATATATGTATACATACAAGCTTATTAGGTTATTCTCATTTGATCTTTGATTAAAAAAAAACTTATAAATAAACAGAGCTAACGAGTTAATGATTTGGCTTTTAGAGGAGCTTAATAATTGTACTAGAGTATTCAAATTTGGGGGTTGTGTTTCATTTGGGAGATACTTTTTCCTGATTGTGTCCCATGCATTTTGGCATTTCAATTTCTTGCAGGCACAAATGACAAATACGGCCCTCCCTAGTGATATTATTATGTCTGCCTCTTTCTATTTCTAGGGGATGGCACACATATCAATGTACGCATCTTGGAAAGTAGTACCTGTTGTATTGTGATTTGTAGAGCACATTGGCTCTTGCCAAAAACAATTTATTTTATCATACTTATAAATTAATTTAACAGAAACTTATTAATTATGACTTGTGTAACACTGTGTAAACTTGTATGACATATTACAGGAAGGATTTTGACACAGCGTCGACAATTTGAAGAACTTTAGATCTCCGCCTATCAGCATTTTTCACCTAGACGTCACCTTTATGTTGTTGAACTTATTCTACTTCAGTCTTGTAAACTTAGATTATTCTACTTACCAGTCTCTAAAATATCAGATCTCTCTTCTCCCGAAAACTTCAAAGTATTATGTGAACCACACAGGACTGCGTTGCTCAAGTTGGATTTATTGGCAATCCGGCCATCCAACTCAGTTTCATCTCGTATCGCCGTGACGTATTTGCCGTTCACATTCGATCGAGTAACGTTTGATCGACAAGACGGCTCCGTTGTCGCCGTCGTCCATATATCACCAATACATTGGAATTCATCTACAAGACCAAGTAATGTCGCTTGAAATATACATGTAAGTACGACGCTGCAATTTAAAGGTTGCATGGCCGAAACAATTGACAAATAATATGCAATGATATATCACGCTATTAGTTGTAGTTTTATTAACTTGCAG